ATTTCAATGTACCAATAAAATTACATTTCAGATTAGATTTTTTAATACTAAAGACCACAGATTCAGTCCATTCTACTTTTGATCACAAAGTGAAGACCTTATATTTCAAAGGTTTCTAAATATCAAATTGTCGTCTAATGTCCTCAAGTTCTGCCTGGCTGAGCTGCACTACAAATCCTCATGCCTGCTAATTCTATAGCTGGTGAGTGAATAAAGGATGGCAGGAAGATTGCTTGATGACTTGAGGAAGTGTCCGTACAGGGGTACTGCACATTCTAACTAAGTTCTCCTGATGCAAAAGTGCAGGAAACCAGGAGTTGGAATAGTGAAGACAGTTTAAGTAAAAGCATCAAGGAAGAGAGAAATCGCCTGAACATATTGTTTAGATAAATGAAAATCACTTTACTCAAGAAAGTACAGTCACGTCTTCCCTGAACCAAGTCGTATTGCTGGGTTTCACAACTTGGGTTAATTAACAACATGATTCTCGTTTAGGGAAATGGAATCTTTTTTCTTTGGAATTGTTCCCTAACTCAGTTATCATCGCCACTACCAAAGGTAAAAATGATCTCTGATCAATCTTGATTTATATGCCTCCAAGAATTACAACTAAGAAAAATGGGTGGCACCTGCAGGGAGGCCAGACTACGCATTAAGTGACTCAAACCCAGGTCTTCTAGCTGCGAAGCTCATATTCTTTCCACCATGTTCTACTGGCCCTTTCTCAATATCAATAATAAGTGAAATCTAAAGCAAGCTTTCAGTTTGCCAAGATCCATTATCGCATTAGATCTTGGTAATAATCTTGGGAAGCTGGCACAGACATAGTATCTCTAATATACAACACAATGGGTCCCCAGGTATGGTATTTATAGGAAAATCTGAAGTTTAAAAAAAAAAAATCCAAACCAAAAACCTACCCTTGTTTCTGACTGTGGTTGAAATGTTTGTTTTGGGAGAGAGAGAGAGAGAGAGAGAGAGAAAGAGTGTTGGGACACTTGAGAGTGTTGGGACAGGTGAGGGACAGAGAGAAAGGAGACAGAATTCTGTACTGATAGTGTACAGGCTGACATGGGACTCGATCACACAGATCATGAGATTATGACCTGAGCTGAAATCAAGAGTCGGACACTTAACCGACGGAGCCACCCAGGTGCCCCTGATTGCAGTTAGACCAGGGGTCTGTAAACTGTCCAAAGAAGTTGTATCCTATGCCTTGTAATATCCTTAAGACATAAATAACTACTGATAAAAGAATTACTGTGTGCAGTGTAAATATGTTACCTTTTGAGTAATCGTATCTTGAAATGAGTATGGCGTACCTGTTATGTTTACATTCTCGGGATGGCAAATACCAGATTTTTGTACTATCTCTACTCTTTCCCACCGTAATCCTGGGCCTGAACTCAGCCTCTGAATCTTTCTGAACATACAGCTCCACGTAGCGCCTATCAAATGACTGGCAGTGTTGTATCAGCCATACAAATAAAAGCTGCATTTTCCTAGTCTCACTCTCTCCTATATTGTACAGCAGTGGTTTCTTGCATTTTTCTTTGCTTTTGATTTGTTATTAATAGTTCTCACATTATTTCATGTTTTCATATATTGTCTTCTCTGCCTTTTATTTATCTCGGAGCACCGAATGCAATCACTTATATACAGCAGTCCCTCGAAGTGTTTTGAACGCACCTAAGACAAATGTGTGGTATTTATTGGAAAAATCTAAAGCTAAAACAAAACAAAACAAAACAAAAAGAAAACAAACACTCCCTCCCCAAAACTGTCCTTGTTTCTGATTATGGTTGAGACCAGAGGTCAGTAAACTTTTTCTGTAAGGTGCCAGGTAGCAAACACTAATAGCTCTGTTTGCCAGATGGTCTCCGATGTAACTACTCAACTCTGCCATCATAGTGTAAAGCACACACAACGTGGAAACGAGTAAGTGTGTCTACATTCCAATAACACTTTATTTTGGATGCTAAAACCTGAATTTTATGTAATTTTCACATGTCACAAAATATTATTCTTCTCTTAAATTCTCCCCCAGCAACTTAAATATGTTGGCAAAAAACAAGCATTCTTGGCTTTCAGGACCTAGAGAAACAGGCAGGCTGGAGTTGACTCACAGGCTATAGTTCGCTGACCTCTGGCCCAAATTTGTGGTTCTCAAAATGAGAACTTCGGGTGGTCTGCACGATCCTTTCAGCAAGTCCGACTACCGATGTGTGAGGCCAGATTTTCTTTATAGGCTTCAACCCAAACAACGTACCACAGCGGACTGAATGCGGAAGCAAATGCGAGGGTCCAGCTGCCTCCTATTAAAGCCACAAACTGAAGAGATTTGCAAAAATGGAAAACAATTTCACACCTCTCACTCATTTTTCCATCATGTTTGGAAAATACATGGTTATATTTCATAATCCTCCTTACAGTAACACGTTAGGGACTTATCACTGATTTTTAAAACAGATTAATATTTTTAAGAAGGACTCAGTTTTGATTTCTAATGTGATAAATGTCAATAGCTACCACCCATGTAATAAACAAATGCTCTCCGGAGGCCCTCGGTAGATTTTTTTAAATGTAAAGGGATCTTGAGACCAGACGGTTTGAGAACCAGCTGCGGAGCCACAGCTGGGTTAACTTACTGGCCGCGGGGTGCGGGGAGGTGGCTTGTACGCCACTTCCTCAGACCCCCTGATTTCAATCTCCATCTTGACTTGTCCCCACCAAAGGGCTTCCTGGCGTTGCTGTGATTGGGTCCCCACTCGGCAAAACTGAATCCCATGCAATTTAGGTTTGTGTAAATAAAGGTGGTGAGAGCGTGGTGGTGATTTTCATGAAAGGACCCTTGAGCTCTGTGCAGACCAATAAAACTGTTTCAGCCTTTACTTTGCCAAACTAGGCAACTTGAAGCAAGACTCTCTCCCTGGCTTGTAGTTTCCAGTCTTTATAAAAAAAGAAAAAAAAATTATTATTATCATTCCTTCCCTTCAGAACATCTCTCAAAACAAATATTCACTGGCTCCTGTATAAAGCCTGGTCCCTCTGACTTGGCTCCGCAAAAACTGTGGGCTCCCGATGCTAATGAGCGTCCTCACAGCAGCATTAAATCTAAAGAAACAGAATCCATCGCCCACGGTGCTACTTTGCCAGCACTAATAACGCACTGAAAATCGCATTTGCAAGTCGTGTGCGCACATCTTAGAGAACACTTGAAGAGGGCATTGATATTTTGCTTGCTCTGTCATTTGAGATTTAAAAAGAGTATTTTAGGAGAAACAAAAAGGGAAAGTTGTCTTAATTCCAGTGTTACGTATATAGGGGAACCCGATATAAGGAAGCATTTCTTTCAGTATAAGTCTACTTTGTCTCAAGTTTAAAGTTTAACTGTCTATCCAAATGATGTGAAGTACTGCCAGCCTTGGGAAACCACCCGCAACACCATCCCCTGACCATCTGAGAGAGAATTAAAGAAATAATAACCACGATTCCAACACGTATCATTTTGCTGGACTGCACACTCTTCATTAGAAAGTGCGTCACCGTGAGTGTACGATTCTACGAATCTTTACAGCTATCTCTTACGGAATAATACTTTTGTAAACAATAACAAAGGAGGAAGAAATTTATATTTTTGGATATTTATCCTTCACTATGTATCATAAGATACCTTTTTAAAAAAATCAAGAATTTTTGATCTTGATTATGATCGGGTAATTTGTCATTATTGGCTCCAAGCAGAAAAATGAAATACATGTGGCTACTTTGACCAACACCAAAAACTGAAATTCACTAGCATCTTTAAGATCAGAAAGACACTAGCAAATCATTATATTACCTGTTTGGGGGATTATTACCCATTTGGGGGAACCACGCAATTTATATTAGAAGGATTTTGGTAGCTGAAGAAGAAAAAAATAGACTAAAATGTGGAGAAAATGCTTACTGTTTAAATCCACATTAAAGCAAAAGTCTCATCAGGATTGCAAAACATTCCAAATTGTGAAACTTAAGTTACTTGTAAGATAGGCAAAAGTAAAGCTGCTTCCTCAGTCATTTTTTGAGATCTCAGCATCAATTTAAAGAAAATGCTTATATTTAAAAGAAAGCTTATTTCAAAATAGGAATCCCTACACTCAGTACAAAGAAGGACATGAAGTAAATTTACATGCCCTACCACAGTGCTCCAGCCGTATGCAAATGAAGGTGATGGGAAATTAAAGTTTACAAAAAAGTTATTTGCTTCCCTATACGATTCTGTAAGGAATAAAAGAGTCTTGAGCCGAAAGCAATGACAAACAATGCGAATGCAAAAACGATCAAATTACATAAAGTTGTTAAGTGGATTAAGCGGACAAAGAGGAAAAGAAAAGGACGGATGTACTTCACTGTACAGAAAAGACAGATTTCTGTCAAATACCGTCTACAAAATTTTGGGATAATGAATCACTTCTTTTCCCAATCTCGTTTTTAAATCAAAATTATGTTGGAATCCAAATCGCGATCGCATGGCATCAATGCTACTACGAAGACAGAAGGGATCAAGAAGATTCTGGTCCACAACTGAAACGAAAAAACTAGTCTGAGAAAACGGTGCTACTACTCCAAAGCAGCAAAACCAGAATCAAACTGGTTATTGTAAAGCGTGGCACAGCAGTTTAAAATCTGAAAAACACCATTGCTATTTTAATAAGACAGTTCCGTTTTAATTTCCCAATTCCTCTCCCCAGCAGTGGGACAATACAGTGTAACCATGTCTGGCTGCTGGGGAATTTTCTTAGCACTTTGTGGAAACTGTTGGCTTTCAGAAATGGACAGGCTGATTTGAACCAAAAGTCAGACAAGATACAGAATTGCAACAACAATAAAAAGCAATTTAGAAAGAGGATCAAGCCAAGCAGATAGGCAGACTTTATAAAATCAGTTTTCTGGGGTGGCGTGTCAGGTCAGTTCCTTAAATTCAAAAAGCCAAACCAAAGCAAAGCATGCGGACTTACATTGCTTCTTCAGTTCTTTCAGCTGTTGTTTAAACTGTACAAATTTTGCATTATTTTGAAAGTCTGTGTCACAATTCTTATTCTGTAAAGCCAAAAATTTCTTCTCCACTAATAATTTTAGATCTGGTATCTTCTCTGGACGTTCTTCTTTTACCTGAGGAAGACAAACAACACAATTGCCTTCGTTTAAGGTTAACAGTGACACCGTTTTGTGAACATTATTTTCATCTCATTTCATTCAAATAAAAATACAGTGAGGTAGAAAACACAATCCCAACAGAACCAGAGAGCTTGGGACTTGTTCCAGAACAGATGGCCGGTAAACGGTTGGGGAGCCATTCATCCCATCTCCTCATCACTTTCTTAAACCCTCCCTCCAATGCCCGACTAACCTCCTGTCTCCTGACAACTACTAGGGAAAAATCTCACACCAGAGCAACTCTGTGCCCTCCAACGTCAAGGGAACCTGGGCCTCATGGCTTCCTCCTTTTTGTCAGGTCTGCTCAGTCCCCTCTCCTCCTCTTCTCTGGCTCTCTGTCCCAGCAGGAGAGAGAGGCTCCTACTTCACAAAGAAGTTGAGGCTTTAATCTTGAACTTTGCCATCTGCAGCCACAAGGAATAAGTGTCCCCTGTTCTGTTCAAAGCTAAACTGTCAACCTATCTTCTTTTTGTTCCCCCCCAATATTTTACTGTCAAACTTCCAAACATGTGGCCAGGTTGAAAGAATTGTATTTTACCACTCATCTACCTCCTAGATGCCACAACTGACATTTTGCTATGTTCACTTTATCACCATAGTGATCCATCTATCTGTTCTTTCCATCCTTAATCCTGCTTCAAGTTCATTCCTAATTTATCTTCACGTCTGTCAGGCCACACCTTCTTTCCCCCAAAACCTCTGAATTGGCTCCTTACTCCCCAATTTAACAGACAAACTCCTCTAATCCCTGCCCGCTCCGCTCAGGTACTTTCTCTTCGTAGTCTAGCTCCTTGGAAAAATCATCTGTACCCACTGTTTCTAGTTCCTTGACCTCAACCTTTAGCCACTGCCCCCGCCCCCCGCTCCCCACCCCCTTCACTGTGACTGCTCTTCTTTAGGCCTTCATATGTGGCTTCCTGATGCCCCTGCACCAAGCAAAATTCACCAAACTCTCCCTTGCAGCCCAACTCTCCCTTAAGCCCAACATGCCTTAGACTTTTACCATAGCCCCCTTCATATTCGACTGCATTTATTTTCACATGTCTACTTCCCCTAACAAAATGCCGACTCTTTGAAAAATGTGTGATTTATCACTGCGTTTGCCAGCACGTGGCATGTAGTAGATAGTATTCAATATATGTACTCGACAGATTTCAAACAAATTAATCTTACATGCCCCAAATATACTTCCCCACTAAAACCCACAAATGATCGACTTAACTGACATTAGGAGAGCATACAGGACAATTTCTAAGCTGGAAGACAACTCAGAGGTCATCTAACCTTGATGTCTACCTTCCTCAGTTTCATAAGTAAATAAAATTATATAGAAAGAAGTTAAATGACTTGTTTACTATAATCCAGTTGGTTGGAGGCAATGTTAAGACTGCAAATAGATACAGAAAATTCTTGCTTTTGGTTCCAGTCCATGGAATATATTCATCTCTCTGAATCTGAGTATCAACTAGTGTGAAGTCAAAAGATTACCTGTAATTTATCTGTTTCAATTACCCTTTGTCATGGAAAAAAGAATTATATAATCTTCTTTTGTTTAACTGCTATGCACTTTAATTAGCTAAAATAAAAAAATGAAAATTAACCATGAAACCAAAATGCCTAAATGTAATTTATGGTACAGAGTGTAGAAACTGTTTTCTCATTGCATGGGTGATATCCAACCAGTGCTGGATCCATCATCAAAGAGAGCTGTGAGAAATATGGAGAGGCTTTAATGACACATCTTATACATAATTAAAAATTTTAAATAAGTCCTGTACGGCTAAAGAACCAATAAAGCTCAGTTTGGAAAAGAGAAGGTAGGGAGGCAGTTTAACAATGCCTCATGTCTCAAGAATAGGAGATGTTAGACATGTGACTAGCTATCCTCTACCTCTATAATGGACAGGACAGGATGAAACAAGTTCAAGACTGTAGCATGAAAAGTTCAGAGTAGATACAGAAAATAAATGACAAGTTCTCAGAAAAGAATTATAGTCTTTCTCTCTGGATTTATAAAATAAAATGGACTCACATCCACCTGAGACGTGAATAGTGCTATTATAAGCAGGTATAAAAGACCTTCTCAAGGTCTTTTCTGGGCTGAAATTGTTATTTAATCTGGGGCAATCAGAGCAGAGCTGAGCAGATGATCAGTAAAGGCAAAAGTTCTTTTCCAGTAAAGTCTCCAGCCCGCTCAACATATTTAGTGTCCTTAGCCCCATTACCACCCAAGCAGAAGAGCTGGCTGGAAGATGGGGGCGGAGAAGATGGAGAAACGGTAGGCGTTTTGAGATTGACAACATGGCGACCTGAAATAGGACTAGGAAAACCTGAATAAGCCAAATTTCGTGATTCAAAATACTCATTTTCCTCAAGGCCAGAACCTCAATAGAACCGCCGGAAAGCACATAAATTCACTGCAGCAAGTATCTTCTCTGGAAATGTGATGCTGCGGTCGGCACAGCTATGCGTGGTAGAGAGAACTTACTGGGCTCTGGCAATCAAAAGGAGAGCCCGGAAAATACCGAACTCCTTATCTGTTTAAATCAATGCAGTGAATGGGGATTAAGGATATTTTTCATGGACTCTCGCTTTGTTTGTATCTTCAAGAGAAATATGTTGTACAGTCCCAAAATGAGAAGGAAAGAAGCCATTCTTTGGGTAGCTGATCGTAAGTGTGATCTAGTCCGAAAAAGGTAAGGATGGCCCTCTTTCCCCAGGACAAATCCCAAATACTTCAAAGAAATGTGACATGGCAGGAGATTTTACTGGATCCTTAGTCCACTTCTTTCCCGAAGATCAAGTCCCTTGATGTAGGACTTAAAACCTAAGTGAATTAAAAGACACTGGGTGTATTAGTTTGCTAAGGCTGTCACAACAACATACCACAGACTAGGTGGCTTCTAGGTAGAAATTCTTCTCTCACAGATCTGGAGGTGGGAAGTCTTTGGCTTGTAGATGGCCATCTTCTCCCTGTGTCATCTGTCACATGGTCTTCCTTCTAGCTGTCCGTGTCCAAATTCCCCTTTTTTATAAGGGTACCAGTCACACTGGATCAAAGCCCATGCCAATGACTGCATTTTAACTTAACTCCCTCTTTAAAAACCCATCTCCAAAACGGTCATATTCTAAGGTACTGGGGTTTAGGACTTCAGCATATGAATTCGAGGGGAACGCAATTCAGCACATACACTGGGTTAGTAAATTTTTGAAGCAGAATTTTTTTTTAAACACCTCAGAGATTATTAATCTTTATGCCATTATAATTTAAAACCGATAGGAACTACCGAGAGGTAAACTTAACAGATACCATACTTACATAATGGGAATTTGATTCTGCCCTCGGGAGAGAAAAAGTCAGGTTTTTATTCACTCACTACCCACTGCCCTCTCCACTATTCAGTGAGTGCCTTCCACGTGCTAAGAACTGTAGCTACACTGGAGAGAAACCAGAAAAGTCGATCAGGAGCACATGGTGAACAGCTCTGAAAGTGAGACCTGGCCTGATGGCAGCAGGAACGACAATTTTAGGAGGTCTTAGGGAGTAAAGTAAGAGTACCATAAGAAACTTTTTTTTAATCACTGCTGTAGTTCAAGCATATAAGATGCACTTCAGGCAGGGAGGGGGGAGGAAGTTACTGCTGTAGGTTGACTAATGGCAGAGGGGCTGACAACCGGACCGCATCACGATGCCATTTTTAAAGCACAAGGGCCAAGTCTTTTTGTGAGAGCGGTGACTCCAAGATCTGTAACAGTTAATATGGGCAACCAAGGAAAGGACATTTTCTTGAGGAAAGAAGGGGCAATCCTGAATGTCTGTCTGAGTGGAGGGATCTGGTACACAGCGGGCGAGACATTTTAAATGAGGAGATGGGAGCAGAAAGAAAAGAGACGCAAAAGGAATTCTAAAAGAAGCAAAGAAGAAAACCAGGGGTGAGGAATGCCACAGAAGAAAGAAAAGGGAAAGTTTCCTTGACAGAGAGATGCTCGTCCTTGCGGGAAAATGACGCAAGAGAGCTCAGGTAAGATAAGGTCTAAACAGAGACTAGACTTCATTACAAGGGATTTTGTACCCTGGAGCGGAACGATTTACCCATCTTAGCCTATCAGCCTGTGAAGCTTCTCTCAGGCAAGGGCTGTTTGCCTGGGGTCTAGCGCACTTCCTGTTGTATAGTAGGTGCTTGAAAGATGTTGAGGAACAAGTGAACTATGGGGCAGCCAGATGATACTGTCTTGAGAGGAGAAAAGAGATTAAGGAGTTCTGCGTTAACAGATGAGCTAAAGTTCGGCAGTAAAGGAAGAGAGAGATGGGAGTCGATCATGGGACAGATGGGAGAGACTCCTTTATTTGCATGGAGGTTAAGAGTAGCTTGAAATCAAAGTGACATAACGGAGGAAAAAGAACATGTAACCCGGGATCAGACAGATCTGAAACAACCCTACGTATGGATCTTGGGACAATCCTTCCAGGCCTCAGATTTCTCTTACCTCTGAATCAGGAATCAGGAACACCGACTTCAGTGCTGTGAGGATTAATTAAATCATGCTTGTGTTTAACTGTGGCACATTGTGGATGTTAAAAAACTTTTGTTCTTTTCCTTTTACCTCTGGCCTACAGCCTTGAACATGTTTGTGGGCTAAGGGGGAGGAGCCGGTGGGGAAACATAAATCACAAGTGCTAAGAGAAAGCAGGTAACAGATTTAAGAAAATCATTCCAGTACAAGGGCAAAAACTAGAGAGGAAGCAAGACCAGCTGGGAAAGCAAAACCACAGCCTTTACCAGGTGTCATAAATGCCTACAGGGCTGGTCAAGCAAAGATCTGAGGAAACCCCCAATAAAGGACAACAGGAAGTGGTGAGGACCCTGGTAAGCAGACAGTACAAGCCCCAGGTGAGAGGAAGTTGCTACACAGCTCCAGATGTCTGTGGCCCGGCGACAGAGCAAGTCCGAGTT